TGTTTGTATTTCAATGTCTTAAAGATCAAAGTCCAATAGAACATTTGCAGAGTTTTCAGTATCAGGAAGCTCTTTAACATTATATTTATTCCCATTATATTTGTCTATGCCTCTACTAAACAAATTCTTAAAAAACGACTGAAAACTCTACACATTTCACATTCAGCCAAATGAATGATTTGGTCAAAAGGTTTCCCATGGGCGAGGGGGCATGGCCTCATTTTTGATGTTTAACCTTTTCTTGGCTTTTACGCCTTTGGCTGGCTAATTGTCAATGCTCTGTTTGGCCAGTGGCAGCAAAAGTGAAAAGCAGGGAATAAAGAAAAAAAGAACCCCAGCTAGATCCAGTAGCTATTTAATTAGCTAAGGTCAGTTGAGTTTGTTTTCTTTTTGGGGGGTCTGTTGAGCAAATGCGGAAGAAGTCTAGTTACTTGCCTAGTTGCATAAGCCCCTACCTCATAGTCTTAGTTGCCCCAGCTGAAGTGTGTCTCGAGAGTAACTACAAAGATCTGCTCCCACAACTCTTCCCAAGCCATGTCAGATCGCAATCTATGTCGCACTCATGTGCTTGTGTGTGGGGACGACGCACTTATGCAATTATAACTGTAGGCATTGGAGTATGTAAAAGCAACAGCAACAGCAACAGCAACAATAAGAAAAACAAAAACAATGGCATTTGCAATTTGTTCAATTGTCAGAGATCTTTCGGCATTTAAGTGGAGCGAGATACTCGCTTGCAGTCCATGACGAGACTGTCGTCTTCGCCTCGCGTTGCCACAGCCAACAAATTTGTACAGCACTTGGCCTCGTCTATAGCTCTTGCTGTTCAATATTATAGATTTCCCAAGATTTTTCAAACTCAGTATCAATTCGAAAAGCCCAAGTGCGCGATTAGGTAAGCAAATGAATGGATATAAAGTGAAGTTGAAGTCGTTTTTTTTTGTGGGAACCAAGTTTGATGTAGAAGATCCAATAAAAGATTCTATAAGTAATCTATAGTTATTTATCTTAAGGCACTCCATCAAATGTATTTAATTAATTGTTATAATTCTTATTTGTTAATATTATTATATGATATATGGAACTATTATGAGAGTATTAAAATTGGCTTTACTGATAATTACTTGCCATTCTGATATACATGTATACCACATATATCATATTTTAAATTATATATTTTATCTGTTTATCTTATTTTAAAACATCTTTATTCCATCTTAACATTTCCTTCTTCTCACAGGTGCATATTCTGCTGGTTTGTGTCTTCGCTCTAAGCTGCCAAGTCAACTGCAATGCTATGAAGCACGTCATATCTGCTATGCATATATACCATATATGGCATATATATAACATTATCAGTATAATTATCCGTTTTAACTGTACATCTGTTCTTCTCTCTAAAAGTAACTAAAATACTTTTACAGACTCTTTGTTACATGTGATTCGTGTCTTTGCTATGTCAAGACATTTGCATTCAAATATTTAAAAAAAAATTCTATATATTTAAGCGTATATTGATCTACTTATCGAAACAGCTCATCTCCCAAAAACCAACTTTATAGTCACTAGAAAAATATACTTTAATATCATTGACATTCTCTTCTGCGCGAGCCCTTTCTAATGGTTCGTGTCTCTGATAGCCTCTGCATGCAAATAACTAAATAATAATTTCCATATCTCTTTGAGTGCAGACCCAGTTCTTGATTATACCGACTTTCTTGAGATTTTGCTCCCATTTTCTATGCAATTAAATTTCAACTTTGTTTTCTTTCATTTCTCGACGCTGTCAATTGTTGTGCCTTATTTCCTTATCAATTAATGCGCCCCTCCTACAGCTCCCTTCTCCTTTGGCCTGATTCTTTTCGCTCATTTTGTATGCAGCGCCAAGTTTCACACAACAATCAACGATGGCCCACGTCGACGTTCATTTCGCATTGCAAATGATTTGTACCGCCCTGCCCCAGCCACCCACCTGCCGGCTGCTGGCTGCTGGCTGCTGTCTGCCGGCTCTGGCTGGCCTCAGCTAGAGCTCCTGTTTGAGCGCTTGCTGCGGCATTTCCGTTTCCCGTTCGGCCTGTTGCATAAAAGAACAATCAAAGGTCTTCAAATGATTCGTACGTGATATTTTTGCGAAACACATTTCTTTCGTTGCCATTTCACTCTTTTTTCAGTTTATTTTTGTTTTTTCCTGCGCTGAGGTCTCTTTCGGAATTTTCTGATTTTTCATGTGTGTGCGAGTGTTCGCTCACCTTTCATTTTCCATTCACCTCGTCTCTTTGTCGTTTGCAGTTGTTGTCTTTAACTCCTTTTATTTACTCGTTTTTTTTTTTTTTTTATTTTTGGCTTACAAATTTACAAATAATTACGCAGCAACACCAGTAGCCGCAGCGACAGGTAAAAACAATTTTCAGTTTATAATTTACACCTGTCGTTTTACCTACTCAAAAAAAATTTGCATAAAAACAGAATTTCACTCTGTCTTTTCGTCTTTCAACTCTGTTTTAAGTAAGTTCCTCCCGGATATATCGCCGAAGCTGAGCTGAATATTCGTTTATTCAATTTATACTTTAATGCTTTCACAGATAAAAGTTTTTGGTAAGGAGAATCGTAAAATAAAGAACCAAAAATGCTGTTGACTTTAAAAAAAAATACAATTTCTTAAATATTTATTAGCATACTATGTTAATAAAAAACAGCTGTTAGGCACCTTGCAGAGCTCAGTTAAGTTAAGTCAGCCTGAATTCAGCACATTTCTAAATACTTATAAAAAATACTCTATCAAATCTTGGCATGCCTCTGCTCAAAGAACCTAAAGCTAAAGTGTATCTGCGAGCTGTTAATTTTTATATTGTTTTTTTTTTTTATAATGTAATACAATAATAAATATGTTCACAATAAAAGTAACAATATTTATATATTAAATATTCTAATTGAAATTTTTAGCTACAAACAAGCTCAACTGCTGTATATATTATGTTACGTAATGAATATATAAACAGATCTATAAATAAATCCAAAAATGTAAGTTCTGGATTTTGTATACATTATTTAATATTTCAAAATCAATATAAATTGGTTTTAGTTCAGTTTGAACATAAAAAGAATGTATATTTATCTATAAACATCTTAAACATACTTCAAACATTTAGAACAGCTGTACTGCATATGTTATGTTAACTTTAGCTAGTGAGCTAGGCACACAGCAGCTGTAACATGCCGTTAACATTCACAACAAATTTACCTTAACACATGCTAAAGTATTGTGTAAGTCAAATTGAATTACGTAAGATAATAAGTATATAGATATAAAAATGATTACAAATAAATCATGAAAAAAAAAAAACAAAGGAAACCGAAAACCAATTGCCATTGATAGTACCTCTTTACCTAACTATTTACCACTATTTATCACTGTTAATTGAAACTGAGAGACAAGAGAAAAAGTAGTTATACCTTTTATAGTCGAAAAGGTAAGTGATTCAATTGCAGTTTAGTCACAGTAAACCAACTTCCTGCCAATTGAAAGCAAAGCCCATTCAATGAGGATCAGACATAATTGCAGGAGATGATGGATCAATAAAAATCAACGATGAAGCAATTAATATAAAAATATAAAAGATTCCGCACGAATGAAAAAAGAGAAAAAAATGTAGTTAAGTGAAAAGTATTTTGTTTTGGCTCATTGGCTGGAAAGCTTAAGTTCAGCTAATTGGCAACTGGGTCTGCAAGGAAAATTTCCACAACGAAATGTTCAATTGCGATTCGAGTCGATTTCAATGACCTTGAGGCGTCGTTGCACTCACTCTCAATGCAGTTTGCTGCACTTTATATAACAACAAACAGCAGCAGCAGCCAGCAGCCAGCAGCCACAGTGTAAGGGGCACAAAACTCAACCCACACCAAATAAAGTTTCACCTGCCTGGCATCTAGGCAGAGCTTAATAGACCCACCAAAATGACAAAGACGAGCAAAAACACGTTTGTAGCGGGTGAATTTAAGTGAAAAGCCGCAAGTCGCTTTTCCAGCCACGTTTAAGCAACGCGACGTTAACTGAATTGGAATTCGGCGTTAATGAATGACCAAATGGCCAAATGGCCAAATTGGCAGCTTGCTCTATCGCTCGTCCATTCGTTCGCTCGCTCGATCTTTCGTCCTCTAAAAGTGTCTGTCAACACTTTTCTCACTGTCGCTCGCTGGTCAAGTGCAAAATTCGCTTCCCATCGAGGGTTTCGTTATGCCAAGACGATCAACGCTCGATTTCAAAGAGACATTGAAAGCTGCCCCCACCGCTTCCACCTCTGTCAATGTTTGTGCCACATCATGCGAGAGCTAAAGATTTGTGAGCTTGCAAATATTTTTAAGTTGGGTTTTAACAAATTTTTTTCCCAACTATTTGTAACTGTTTTGTGCAAGAAAAATTGCAAAAGAATTCAGTGAGGAATTTGTCAAAATAAAAAATTAAAAAATAAATAAGCTAAAAAACGAAAGTTTATTTCACAAATATTTGATTTTAGCTTGAAGTCTTTTAAGTCTGAGATACTAACTGATATCTAATTTTGCTTTAATTTACTTATAGTCAAAAACTACAATTTTAAATTAAGCTTAAGACTAAACATTTTTTTAATTATTCCTATCTTTCAAACTTACGAAACTGAAATTTGTTTAATTTTATAGATTAAAAATTGATTTTAATTTTTAAAGTTTTCGTTTAGAATTCTATTGCTTATTCAATTTAAGTGTAGTCAATTTCCATATATTTATATAAAAAACTTCTAATAATTTTAAATATTTTATTTTAAGTTTAAAACTATGTTTTCATCATTTTTAGCTACCCTTTTAAGGCACACACCTAAGCTGTATATATTTGTAATTCATCTCAAGTTCCTTTCCCAGATTTTTAACTCTAAATTTTCAAAAAATTTGTCAACAGAAATATTTTTATTCATCTTTTGACTAGAAAAATTGTGGATTTGCTTTTGCATTTTTATATTTAAACTTACCCTATAATCGTAATCATGACGATTCTCCAAGCTTATATCGCTGTACATATCCTCAGTTGTATCACAGTTAGAGCTACGGCCGGAAGAGTTGAAGCTCGATGATCTGTAGAGTTGGCTGCAAAGCGAATGGAAATAATGCAAAATCAATAAAATGAACAAATATTTAAAGCAAATCAGTAACTTATCAATAACTTATATTATTGACTTTAATTAATAAATGCCTTTGATAATTTGTTTCTCGCTTAGAGCTACGGCTATTGTGAATGGGTTGATGCGGTTTGTGTCTGTACTAAATCTGTTTATCCGACATCCGTGCTACACTAAAGCTTTAAAGCGCTTCATTTACCCCTGACACAAACCGCAGCACACTGTAAATGATGACAATGCATCGAAAACTGTATTTAGCCAAGACACACACCAAGACATGTGCCATGGCTGCATAGCTGTAAGTGTAGCACAGTGATTATCAAACCAATTTAATTAAATTAAAATGCAGTTAAATTTATATAGAACGAATATATTAGTTGTTTTGAAGGCCTATTTGTATTTTATATAATTTTCTTTAATAATTTTATTCATAATATTATTGCATTATCAAACTTACCTGGCTAAGGCATTGGAACTTATTTGCCTGCGGCCGGAACTGTAACAAATATAGAAAAATATTAAACTAAAGTAACATTCGTACACAGCAAATTATATACATAAAATTAATGCTACAATTTACCAAACTGTGCAAGTATTGTTAATAAAAACTTAATTAAATTTTCTAAATGCCCCACTAAAGGGCCATTAATCGCCCTTCAATTGGAAGCCCCGTTAAGGAATTTCTATAAACTGATTGCGCATTGAACGAAAAATGCAAATAAACTAGCTGACATTGAAGAAAGGCTACATAGAAGAAACCAAAAGAAAAAAACGCAAAACACGTGATAAAATAAAAACAATAAAAAAAGAAATATATACAAAAAGGGAAAACAATGGCCACCCACGCAAGCGATTGATGCCTGCAGACACACTAAGCCAAACAGAAACAGGTAAAAAGACAAGAGCAGCAACAACACAATGAATGAATAGAAAATGCAGACAAGCAAAACTGTAACAACAACAAGAAAAGCAAACAGACATCAGAGACAAAATAATTGCGACGAAAATAACTAAAATTAAGTTGTAAAAGTGGAAGAAAAAAAACAAAAAACAAGTGTAAAGTGCATTTAGAGAAAATGTGCCAAACGTGAAAATGTGGAAATATTTTTGCATTTGCAGGTGTGTGGAAAATATTGCTAGACATTTAAATTGGGTGCAGCCAAAGCTATTTCGATATGAAAGGCTTAAATAAGAAACAAAATTGATATAAATATATATAAAACATAATGGAAAATAAATAAATGAGTAAAAATAAAAAAAAAATAAAAAAAATAAAAATAAAAATTAATAAATATATAATAAGTTATTTAAAATTCCTAAATAAACCACACTTTAATTAATAGTTAGTTATATATATATATATATATATATATATATATATATATATATATATATATATATATATATAAAATATATACTTAATATTCATTAATTAAAATTATTAAATATTAAAAATATTACAAAATATATATATTACAAAATATAGAAAATAAATAATACATTCATAAATTAAAATGAACAAGTAGACGATAAATTAAAACAAATTTGTTGTTAAAAATATAAAAAAAAAAAAAAAAAAATTTTGATAGTTCAAAATAATTTTAATATTTATTTGCTACATAAAATAACGAACAATAGAAAGCTGCTCAAGAACAACTCTTATGTGCCTGCAAATGAAAAACTTGAAAGGAAATAATTGCGTTAATTGCATTCCTGACACATGAACAAATGCAAATGGTTCTAAAGCTGTATGTACTAATTGCACATATAACACGGACTTAACAACTGCGGAAGCTGTGAGGAAAATATTGGCTTTTAAGCTAATTATATCCGCTACTAAACACGCCAAAACGTAGCTATTTTTCTGCTAAATTGAAATTAAAAGTAAAATTTCAGGTCAAATGTTTAGCCAAATGTCAAATAAAAATTTATAACAAAGCATACAAACTGCAAAGCAACAACAATTAAAAATATAATTTATATATATATATGTATATCTGCTTTTATGGGGTTCGGTGTTAGCCTCGCCCAAGCACAGCCCCACTGACCATGCCCACTAAGTGAACTCATTAACCCACTTTGCACAGTTGGGCTAGAAATAAATAAAAAAAAGGAAAAAAAAAACTATCTCATCTGGCAGCTTATGAGTTATTTTCAGCAAGGCTATAAAACATGAAGAGAAAAACCTAGGAAAAAACAACAATTGGAGGGACAAGAAAAGGCAATGCAAGTTTCAAAGTTTTTCCAATCCAAATAAAAAAGAAAAACTTTGATTCAGTTATAAAAACAAATGCAAAAATCAAAGCTGAAAAAAAGTTGAAAAAATATTCAAATTTATAATTAAGTTGGCAACACTCGTACGCCAATTGGCAACGCGCAAATTGTCCAAAGTGTTAGTTCGACCAACAATTTTAATGTGCTGCAAAGTTGCGCAATTTCTGCAACAATTTTCAGCAGCTGAAAAAAACTTGAGAGTAACAAGAATTTTCTTATGTGGAAAGCCAAATGCTCTTTATAAAACATATGTGAGTATATAACACTAAAAATTTAAAATTTAATTGCGAGACTACTAAATATTGCCAAATAGAAAAAAATTAGTAAAAATATTTCAAACTCTCTATCCGCAGGTCTCTTGCATACCCTTGCCATGCAATTCGTACAGGGTATGAAAACAATTTGAGTGAATGCAGTTGGCGCTGATTTGTTTGATGCAGTGCTGTCTGGCATTTGATTTCATTGATGCAAATTGAAATTGGCATCAAAATGGCAGACGAAAATCGAAGCAAAATGTGGCAGCAGGTGCAAATGAGCAAGGTGTTTTGCAACATTAGAATGTTGCATGAGCCACAAAACAACTGCGGCAAAAAAAAAAGATATTAACCCAAATTGTTGTTGAGCAAGTTTTCAAAAGCTTCGCTCGCGTTAAAATTATAGAAAAAAATTGTATTTAAATCAACAACGAAGCACAGAGCTGACAGTTAATTATAAAAATGATCAAGGTAATGACATGTAATCAGCAATAAAATAAAAGCAAAAACCACAACAGCGAAACAGTTAAAATAAAACATGTTTAAGGTCGAATTTGGTGTTTTATTATTATTATTATTATTATTATATTAACTTTTTTTATAAAGCAAATCAATTGGAAATGTGAGCTTATATTTGACCAGCTGTGCAGTTCAACTGGGTAACCTTGGTATACCCAATTTTCAGGTTCCGTTTAATTAAAACCAACAACATCAACTTTGAAATACACTCGAACTTTTTGCGTAATTGAAACGCCGAGCGGAAATTGATTATTAAATTTCGCCGGGTTTCAAGACTCTTAAAATACTTTTGGCCTCTTTTGAATTGCCTTTCGTTATTTATATATATAAATATATGATAAAGCTTGCAATATAAAGATAGATAAATATATATCTGTATAGCAAAAAATTGAGGCGAAGCTCAGATATTCTAACAAAAATGTACTTGAAAATGTTTTTTTTTTAAACATATTTCTATATTTGAGATTTGAAACGCCAGCTTTGAAATGCTGGCAAGGAAAAACTAACTCAATTTGATTCATACAATCTCGCTTCCCCTCTTTCCTTCTATGAATTCTTAATTGAACCTAGGAGAAATCTAGTAAACATTAAGTCAGTCTAATTTTGTCTTTTGTTTGCATAAAAACAATTTCTATTTTGCTGCAACTGAAAGCTAATATTCTTTAACAGTAAACTCAATACCCTAAGCTTCTTATTTTTATTTTACTTTTGATATTTAAATATGTTTGCAAATATTTGCATATAAATATACAGCTGAAGATAAAATACTCCAAAGAAAATCGAACAAGGTTAAACAATCAACAACATTTTCATTTGCTAAAAGTTGTCATAAAAAAAGTATTGCTATATTCGAATTCGAAGCTCAGATATCGTAAGAAATCTTAAATGGAATTCAAGCTAAATAGTATTATCTTCAAAAAGTTAATTTAGCTTTCATTTATCTAAAAGGTAATTCAATTATCATATCTGCAAAGATTTGCTCAATCTTATTCACTTCATTTACTCAAGCTAAAGCGGTTTACCGGGCAGTTGCAGAGAATTCAGAATTCAGTTGCAAAATTCATATATATATATATATATGTATATATTTATATGTGTTTTTATCTTTAGACATATATATTTACCTATTTTATCTATTTATTTATCAGCAATCATACTCTTCTCAAAATGTTATCAACTCAACAACAAAAAGTTTCTATCTATAGAATTGGTACAGACATTTCAAATGACTAACTGTCATATTCAACAAGAGCACACCTGTGGCTTGAGCCCCTACTCCTACTCCTGTTCATTATAAAAGTATTTCAGTTAGACGCACGCTCATTGCTGCCCGCTGCGCCCTGTTGCCCTATCTTTTGCGCTCATTGCGTTCCGCTTGGTTTGCAGCTGAGAATTTTGTTTGGCTCGCAAAGGGCATTAAAATAAACGAGGGGCCAGAGGTTGCTCGTTACATGCAATGGAAATTCGCATAAATAAAAGATTTTATTTTAACTTTTTATTAGCGAAATGACATAACTAGAAAGTTTGCTGAATCTGTTGAAGAGAGGGAGAGAGAGTTCATTGCTCTAGTTTATGTTTATTTAAAAAAAAATATTATAAATATGTTAATACTATTCCATATTTAGCTCTACTTTCAATATATAAAAGCATTTGAATGGCTAAGTACGCCTGTAGTGAAGATCAGCAGCAATATCAGCTGAAACAGCTAATAGATTCTATACATATAAATCATTAGCTTAGTCTGTTTAGGAGTTCAATACTGACCCACTTCGAAAATTTTGTGTGATTTCAAATTTGTATAAGACTCAACTTGACTGAAGAGTTTATTAGAGAGCAGACTTGGCTTTATATTTATACCTGTATTATTATACCTTTTATAAATATATATATACCTTTGCCTATACTATATAGTATCGCCTAACTTATACCATTTATCGTTCAAGCATTACATTCACATTCTCTAGCTTCGTTTCCCATGCCGAGACCTTCCTCTAGGGCGTTGCACGCCTTAAAAACTTGAAAGTTTTTGTCTTTAATTAAAAGTGACTTTCCTAGTTGTTATTTGAAAATACACAGAAATGACAATAGTTGGCGTAATTAAATGAGCTTTTCACCTGTGCACAGTTTTCCAAATAAGCAGTAGTGTGAAACATGAAAGATGCCCAAATGTTCATAAAAATAGTAGTAAATGCGGTTTCCCAGGTAATTTTAATGAACCACTTCTCATGGGGCTTGAAAGGCGTGCTTAGACATTGTCCATCCTTTAGCAATCGCAATGAATTGCGCCATTCAAGTATAACACGAATTACGACTTAAAAAACTAAAAGTAACTGTTAGAAGTACTTTGAGGCATTGAGGCGTTTCATAAAGTACTGTATATACAGACTTATATATACATATATTGAACTACTCAAAAACATTTGGCATTTGCATGCGATGTAGCAAATAT